CATATTACTTAAAATTCAAGATTACAAGTAATTGTACGTAAGTACAATTTATTAAACATATTACTTAAAATTCAAGATTACAAGTAATTATACGTAAGTACAATTTATTAAAGCTCCATTTTTAAATTCGTGTAACTAACTGCGGATAAACATAATTAAATACATGATAAACATCTATTTTAAATATAAAAAATCTAAAATATAATTAAGATAATCATTGAGTTCTAACAGAATGTTTAATTATTATCTTTTTAAAAAAATTATATTGTTAAATCGAAAATTAATTACTTTGTTATTAAATCTAAATTAATTTATAATAAAAAATTGAATTACAGAAGTTACACCAAAAAAACGAGATCTATTAAATAGTTAATTTGATATTAATATCGATTTACTTTTTTCAAAATTTTATGTTATTTTTAAATTTATATTTCATTTAAAAATAAAAACATTATTATTTTTTCAAAACCACGTAAAATCGTATTATATCGATAGAGACAAAGAATAAAAACTAAACATTAAAATCAAGATTTATCTCGTTGTATTACTAGAATAATCTTCTAGTATAATTGATTAAAAAATAACAATAATTCAAAATTTATATTGATTAACATGAAAAGATAATGTAATTGGAAAGAACAGATAATTTCAATATTAAGGGTAAATTTGGTAATTTGAAGGTAAACGCTTTGGCAAAGGAATGAGATGGACGAGCTCTGCTGTCGTCATCAATGGTGAAAAAGGCTACAAATTTGTAGTTAAACTTTTTGATTGATGAGTTTTCGAGATCACATGGACAGAGAGGAACAAGAAGTTGCAGACCTCATGGGAACAAACAAGAATATTTTTTAGACGACCACGAAAATAGCTTTGTGGTTTTTGCTTTTAGGGATTTTGAGGTACTTCAGATTTCGGAAGAATTGGGGTTTTTAGATTATGATGTAGTTTTAACTTCATATGTATGATTGATGCTTTAAATACTTTATAAAATGCTTTAAATAGTTCATTGAACAACATTGGGTGTTTTTTCAGGATCGTAAGTTCGATTATGAAGTGAATACTGTTCAGTTGGAGGTAGAAGAAGCAGAAATTGATATCTAAGTTTGGGGGTTTATGTAAGGATGAAGGCGGGGAGTGCGGCGAAGCTTATTGTTGATGCCCTGCTGCAACGGTTCCTTCCACTTGCGAGGCGTCGAATTGAAACAGCACAAGCACAGGTGATGATTGTTCACTCAATTACATCTACATCTATGATTAATTTTCGATTATGAGTTGAGAATTTTTGGTTTCAATAAGAAGGTTATAGGTGATATAGGCTTGTAGATATAGCTGGTATCATGTAAGAATTGATGTAAAGATGGAATCGCTTTCTGGGTTTGGGTAAAGTAGGAAATTGAAGGCAATAACATATTGTTGCATGAATAGGGAAGGAGAAGAAAGGACTAGGAGGCAGTTTGATATGTTGAGATACTAGATACTTTTAGGTAATATTGAGTGCTTGAAGGTGTAACCCATGAAAGGAAGCTTCTGTACTTTATAAAGTTCAGACTTTTTCATTTGGATAGTGCCCTCAATTCCCCCCATGGTTGCCTCTTCATGTCGTCCGTCCTTGTCCCGACTCCCGATCATTTGGGAAACGAAGATCTTTAGTATCACTGTGCCTTCATTTGAGGACTATTTATAGAAGATTGTGGGTCTGGGAAAGCCAAATTTATTTTGATTCAATTTTGAACCTTCGATGGTTTTAGTTTACAAATTTGAAGGAAGGTTGATATTATGTACGGCAACTTCCTCGGGTGCCATTGGGGGCTTTTCTTTGGGAAGATCTAGCAAATGTCAGGGACATTTGGTTTGAGTGTGGTAGTAGTGGCTGTTTAAGCGGTTAGAAGTCTGATTCCGTCTTGTTCAAATCAATTACAGTGTATTTGCTCAAGGTACAACAACCCAACGTCTTTAGGATCCCTGTTATGTCTATTCTAAATATCATAACAGTTTCCTTTTGACAAAAAGAACTCTCATTCATTATTTTATTGTGGGGATCATCGACCCCAAAAAGATTTATAATGTTACACTTGGAATGTAGTGCATCCTAAGACCTTCACAGTTTACTGGGGTAGCATATTGACCCCAACAAGATTTATAATGTTACCCCAAAAATATTTATAATGTTACACATGGAATATAGTGCATCCTAAGACCTTTACAGTTTATTGGGGTAGCATACACGTGTATCTGTGTATGGAGAGTTCATAATTTGGTTTCCGAAGATTATCATATAAGAGTTGCCAATTTGTGCTTCTTTCCCCCTTTTTGAAACTACAATAAGTCGAGGTAAATGCTCCTGTGAAGTAAATTATTTTTTCACGCATGTGCTATCATAGATTCTGGATCAAGTGCATATCCATTTGGAATTCTGTGGTGTGACTAAGAGTAAAAATGTGAACTAAATTAGGTGATCATTCGCAGTTAAGTAATTTTAACAGTCTTATAATTTATATTTTATACAAAATCAAATGTAAAAAGGAAATATGGACAATGGAATGCTTTAGATATACAATTTTCTTGGCTAATGATACTTGCCTCTCACTAAGCCAAGTTTGGTTTTGGTTAACATCTGTAGACAACACCAGAGACCTTGTTCTATAGTTTCAACTCAAACATGAGTATGGGTTATATAGATTTGAACTGAAAGGGTTAATTAACTAGGATAAGGCCATGTTAACATATATGGTTTACCCATATTCTATGTTATTTATTGGAATGTTTGTAGGTGTAAAGAAACTAAGAAATGATATTAGCATGTAGAATTTTGATAATGTGTAGGTAGTGAGCGGATATTGTAACTGTAGGTATCAAAAAAAAAATAACGTAGTCTCTAAGTAGACACTCAAGATTCTGCAAGTGTGTAGTTTACCATTTCATTTCTTTTGGTCGGCTTTCTTTTTCATGGCAAGAAGGCATTATGACGTCCAAAGACCTTCGTAGACTTTTGGTAGACCATTTCTTTGAGAAGCATATATGGAATTATTATTTTAGATTGTGTGGGTCCAAATTTGGTTATGTAACTCAATATGCTCTTTGAGGAGAGTGGAGTCAATGTTGGAGTTGTCATTAATTCTTTATTTGCCTGTATCTTTTGGATCCTTCTGGATATATGCTATAGCCTATGAGACCTAAGGATTAGGAAGGAATGTGTAAATTTGACATCTTTTTTTATCTTGCCAATTTTTCTTGATATGTTGCATTGGTTCATTTGAAATTTCTAGTACCGAACTTAGACTTTTTCCATGAAGGGAATAAATTAAATCTCATTTTATCAAAATTTTGTACAAGCTATAAGTAGCTGAATGGCCTACCACATGTGTGCTATGGATGTATATCTATTGCTGCTGAAGTGCGAGTCTTATAGCGTGTAACGATGTAACTTGCTTTCAGAATTCAATAATTAAACTCGGTGCCTAAAGCTTAGCATTAGGGTCACCCAGGTTCGAATCCATGGAGGAGTATCCCTATGCGAATGTGCGCAGCCTGCCTCCCGGAAGTGGGGAGGTTTGCCCAATTTATGTGGGCGGGGTGCTTTGCTGAACCTCGTTGATACCATGGATTCAAAAAGAAAAAAGTTCAGATTGGTTTTCTTGTAGTTTATGGTTTTTGGTTTGTATGAATGGCATGATACTTGGATGGTATTCCCTTTACAACTCTAAAAACAAATGCTTTTCTATTTTTGTTCCATGCATGTTATTGCTTGTAACCAAGAGTTCGTTTTTCTGGACAATTCTTCATCAATTATTCTTTAATCAAATGTTGGAAACTACAGGATGGACAATACCTTAGGCCATCAGACCCTGCCTACGAGCAAGTATTGGATTCCTTAGCTATGGTGGCACGACACACACCTGTACCTCTTCTTGAAGCACTTCTTCGATGGAGAGAAACGTGGGCCTCTAAATTGTATTCTTTAGCCACCTGATTTGGTCGAGAGAGCTGAAATACATTAAGATAAAATGCTTCATTAGTCCATACAAATGGAGTTTGATCATGTTATTTGCTGTTTCCTTGCAGTGAATCCCCAAAAGGTGCAAATGATGCATCTACATTCCAGAGAAAGGTTCGTATGACTTGATATATATATGTTGATATCTTCTTCCAAGGGAACTCGATGTATAGTTGTAGATATTGCATGACAAGGAACAATCCACAAAAATGCTCGTTTAATCAATGCTTTCTTGGTTGAGAGCCTTAGCATTTCTGTCTCTATTTATTTAAGTAACGAGCTTCTTCAGGTCAAAACTTCATTATTGGATATATACACTAGAGTATTTGCACTTATATGTGTGGCATAGGTTGGTGGAGTTACAAAGGTCCTACCATGTTAGTGTGGTAGTATAATGTTATTTGTGGGGGGTTTGTGGCTCATAGTCATGACCCTGAAACGCTGCTACGGTTATTTACCTTGTGTAGAATATATCATTATTTAGCCTTTTGTTTATCTATACATAAGCTTGTTAACTAGAAGACAGTAGTTGGGCTAACTCAGTTGACTGAATGTGAGAAAAGCATGAACAGAGGAATGCTCATTTCTGATATATTATTACATCATCTATTGTCCATATTAAAAGCTATAGATTAGTATGTAGTTATGATCGTGATTGGATGAACTCTAAAAAGTGAGGTGGGTAAGTTAGCCATATTTGTAAATGCTGCTTCTTATTTGCTTCTTGGCTACTATCCCAGGCAACATGTTCATGAAATAGATGGTTTAAATGATCAGTTCATTCTTCCTGTTAAGTGTTCCACATCTTTTTGCTTAAGAAAGCTAACTTTTATTGCATTGAATGGATCAGCTTGCAGTGGAGTGCATTTTTTGCTCAGCATGTATTCGCTTTGTGGAGTGTTGTCCACAAGAAGGACTTACAGGTTCAGCATCTGCATGATTAATCTCATTTTTTCCTGTAATTTAGGTTGTGGTTATTCTGAGATAGAATGTGCTTGCCATGATTGCACAGAAAAACTCTGGATTGGACTGGAAAACTTTGTGTTCGACTGGCTGATAAATGCTGACAGGTAATCGAAAGTTTGCTCTAGAAGCTTCAGTTCCTTTTTTCAATTTCTAAATGCGTTGTGTTTTAAGCCATCACTGAGGACTGATGTGAACGTAGTCGGTATATCTTCTTGTTGACTCAAGTGCCATAATTACATTGGTGTGTTGCTATAGATGAATATCTTGCAGTGAAAACAAAACAAGCTGTATGCTCTAATTCTTATTGTATATATTCATACAAGTGGGAGCTTATTAGCTTAAGACATGTGGCATAGTTAACAATGTTTCTATTTCGGATACTTCACCCAGTAAAAGCTGAAATACTGTTCATTGCAGGGTTGTTAGTCAGGTTGAATATCCTTCATTGGTCGATTTGCGTGGGCTTCTTCTAGACCTAGTTGCACAACTTCTGGGTGCTCTATCACGTATCAGGTAATTGGTACTTGTAACTTGATGACAGAATGAAGGGTACCTAATTTCCCCTTTTGCTAGTGAGGCATGTTTGGTGGATCATAAGTTCATTACAAAGTACCAACATATGTTTCTTTATTTTGATTTTGTCACAAATGTCTTCTTCCTAAAAAAAGGAACGGATTTTTTTGAGTTTGATAAAAAATAAACGTCATGCTTAAGCTTTTGTTGTTTCTATGTATCCATTCTTGATCAGGTGGTTTATAAGTTATTTCTTGTATCGCCTTGTCTATGGTACAGCTCTGTTGACAAATCTTACTTCTACTAAACAGGTTAAAAAGGTCTTACGGTCTTGCCAGACCTTGTTACAAACATCCACTGTACTCCTATGTAAAAGAATAAGGGGCAGTTTGGTTGGTTTTTCATCAAGTCCTGTATGGATAAAGCTCTCTGTGTGGATTAATTTTGTCTGTATAGTTTGGGAAGATTTTTGTTTGGGAGGGATTTTTCATAGATGGAAGGAGCGTGTTTTTTTAATAGGGAGGTGCGTATTTGGAAAAAAAAAACTTGGCTTTCTGCATAAAACTTACTGAATAAGCCACTTTCTATATCATTAAGCCACTATCAAAACAATCATATATAACTGACCAAATAAGTTGTGAGTAAGCTGCTAACAAACGAACCCTTAGCCTTCAATTTTTCATGTTGAAGAGAGTTGTCACTGATCTTTCAAACGTGTAGTTTCTTCTTCTAAACTGCACATTACGATTATGTCATATTAAATAAACACTATCCTCTATTTATTATACCAGGGAGACGATGACAAATGAGTGATAGCTATCATGCTGATGGCTTGCACATAATGTAAAGGAATACATGTTGATGCAGCAAAGGGGATTTGGTCATTCCCATTTCCAAACAAAGTTCACTTGCCTTTTTAAAAGCTGTACTGCATTTTTTAATTTAAACAGATTCCTAACATAGATGGTAGGGAATAGGGTCAGTGAGTCGGTAGCTAGGTTACGAAAAACCTAAATTAGACTATGGTCGTATTATTTGCACATTTGAGTATGTTTTTCCTGTACTTGCTTCTATTTATATTGTTGTTGCTTACTCGTATCTAGTTTCTTAAATTTTAGCATAATTGTCTTTCTCTCTTTCTAGTTTTATTGTTGTTGTTTGCTCTTATCTAACATTCCATTTTTTAACATGTCTGTTTTTCTCCCTTTCACACACCTTTCACTAACCGGGGTTTGTCACAGAAACAACCACTCTACTCTTTAGGTAGACGTCAGGTTTGCGTACATCTTAACCCACCCCACCTATGGGTGGATATACCGGTCCCGTTTCGTTTGGTTTGGTTAAATTCCTAACTTAGACCATTAAACTTTTTTATCCTTAGAGCACCACAATTTATATTATGCTGTATTACCTTTCCATGGAATGCTATGATGCATGTTTCGAGTAAAAGTAAACATGCATGCTTTCTTCAGTTATTTGAGAATTTTTTTGCTGTCCCTTGATAGGTTTAGTTCTGTAACCGAGCGCTTTTTCATGGAACTGAATACTCGTCGGATTGATACCAGTGGTGCTCGAAGTGAAACACTTAGTATCATTAATGGAATGCGCTACCTAAAGCTTGGGGTACATGCTAAATACAGTTATTTTTCCTTTTGCAATTGTTTTCTTGTAAAAGCATATAGTAATATACGTTCAATTCCTTTTGCGGGCTTCCGCCAGGTCAAAACAGAGGGGGGTCTAAACAGCTCAGCTTCCTTTGTGGCAAAAGCCAATCCTCTTAATCGCGCGCCTCATAAACGAAAGAGTGAACTTCATCATGCACTTTGCAATATGCTGTCAAACATTTTAGCACCGCTTGCGGATGGTGGTAAAGGTAACTGGCCGCCTCCTGGTGTAGAACCCGCACTTAGCCTCTGGTATGAAGCTGTTGCACGAATGCGAGTGCAACTCATGCATTGGACAGACAAACAGAGCAAGCATATAGCTGTAAGTAAATGCTTAATGCTCCATAGTTTCTTTCTAGAGCTGATCATTTGCGGGCTTGGGCCGGCTGGGCCTAACCTATTTTTCTCGTCCAACGAGCCTAATATAGAAAACCAGAGCCCTTCTGTACGAGCTTGAAAACTTGCCATTACCCACCCTATAAACGGGCCGTGAACAGCTCTATTTCTTTTTCTCACTTTATTTTTGCCCATTGGTTGTGTTGCAACTTCTCCTTGATTTGTTTCTTTCTAAAACTATACTTGAACCAAACCAAACCAAACATACCCAATATATCCCATTCGAAGGTAGGGTCTGAGGGGGTAAGATGTACGCAAATCTTACCTTTGTTCCGCGAGACAGAGAGGCTGTTTCCGGCAAGATCCCACTTGCAAAAAGTATAACTTTACTTGGTTCTCTTATATTTACTTTATAACCATGCTGCTTCTCGTTTGTGTTAGGTTGCTTATCCTTTGGTGACTTTGCTTCTCTGTCTTGGTGATCCTGTCGTTTTTCTCAATAACTTTGGTCCTCATATGGAGCAACTGTACAAGCATCTCAGGGTAATTATATTTTAACTCGAAATTTAGAGTTAAGACCATTGAACAACAAAAATATTATTTAGACTGCACGTAGTTCTAAGGTGTTCCTTTTCAGATCACCTCCATTTTCTTCATCTGGTGACATAATATAGGCTTATTTTACAGGACAAGAACAACCGGTTCATGGCTCTGGACTGTCTTCATCGTGTTTTAAGATTTTATTTAAGTGTTCACGGGAACTCCCAACCACCAAATCGTGTATGGGATTACTTGGACAGCGTGACAGCACAGCTTCTGACAATTCTCAGGAAAGGGATGCTTACACAAGATGTACAACATGATAAAGTTGTCGAGTTCTGTGTTACTATAGCGGAACATAACCTCGATTTTTCTATGAACCATGTGATCTTGGAATTGTTGAAACAAGATAGCCCAAGTGAAGCAAAGGTTATTGGCCTTCGTGCATTACTTGCCATTGCAATGTCTCCAACAAGCCAACATGTTGGCTTGGAAATCCTTCATGGTGATTTATAAATCCTTTTTAAGTTCGAATGCAGTTTGTGAAAATTTTAATTTTTTTAAGATCTTGTTATGACTTTTTTTCTTTGACTTGTGCTACATGGGCAGCTCATGACATAGGCCATTATGTTCCAAAAGTGAAGGCTGCAATTGAGTCTATTTTGAGGTCATGCAATCGTGCTTATAGTCAGGCTCTTCTCACTTCTTCAAAGACGACTATAGGTAATAATCATGTAATCACAAATTTGTGTGTTTCATTGCCAGTCAGATCTCTCTTGTATAATTAAATTGTTGAGTATGTGATTCTTCATCATTCTATCAAATGATAGCATAGATTCTTAGGGGACGTTTACCAAAATGTTGCCAGATAAGTGCTTTCCAGCAAGAGTCACCGCTCTCACTTACTTTATCGGGTAACATTCTTGGACATCAAAACGGATTGTTGGCAAGCGTCTCTTACCTGGGAGCGCTAACCGGGTAAGAGTCTTCTCCCTCGCTTACCGGGTAAGAATCTCGGTCCTTGCCATGCTCACCCGGTTTGGTAAGTGACACCTGGTAGACGTTTGGTAAACGGCCCATTAGTAGCAATATCTCATGATCTTCCTGTTTTGTGAAATCAAAGTTGCCCGTCATTATAGTTCTTTATTTACTTGCTATAACTTTAACCATGTATGGTTCATCATAGTTTTTCAATGAAAAGAAGACAATGTGCTCAGAAACAAATCTCTGATGTTCATTTGTTGCGTGCCTCCTCCAAAGTATTTCTGGCCTCCTAGCTCTTATCGTGATTGACCAGTAGACGACTTTTATGCCCTCGTTTAGCTCCGAAGTATTTTTCATAATATTTGAGCCTACAAAAGTCTATCCTTTTAGGTGGGATATAGTAACTTCTCAAGATGAGCATTGTATCTGCCAATGATCATAATTTTGCACTACATTATTTGTGATTGCTTGAATTTGCACATTAATTGCTATTAACTTATCCCATAATGGTACACTCGAGAGGCAGAAAGCTTCTGTTTTGAAGATGATCCCTTCTTTAATACCTTCATTTCTAAGAAACCATTCCTTACGCAGATGCTGTTACCAAGGAAAAATCACAAGGATATCTCTTTCGCTCGGTTCTGAAGTGCATACCTTACCTGATTGAAGAAGTTGGCCGGACAGATAAAATCACTGAGATAATACCGCAGCATGGAATAAGTATCGATCCTGGTGTTCGTGAGGAAGCGGTACAAGTACTGAATCGGATTGTGAGATATCTTCCCCATCGTCGCTTTGCAGTTATGAGAGGTATGGCAAACTTCATCCTACGGTTGCCAGATGAATTTCCTCTTCTCATTCAAACATCACTTGGACGTCTTTTGGAACTCCTGCGTTTCTGGAGAGCTTGTCTCTCGGATGATAACGTTGAAAATGATGCTTTGGATGCAAAGCATGTGCAGAAAAAACAAGGATTTAAGAGATCTTCGTTCCATCCTGGAGAACCTATAGAATATCGTGCTTCGGAGATTGATGCAGTTGGCCTTATTTTTCTTAGTTCTGCTGATAGTCAGATCAGGCACACAGCATTGGAGTTACTTCGCTGTGTTCGTGCTCTACGGAATGATATTCGAAACCTATCGTTATATGAAAGATCAGATCTCCTAAAAGATGAAGCCGAACCCATATTTGTAATCGATGTTTTAGAAGAGAACGGGGTGCGTTATACTTGATTCTTACCTTATTTACTTTATATCTGTAATTATGTGTACCACAGGAAAAGGTTTTGTTCTTTGCTTGTTATTTTTATTAAGTTTTTTCTGGTGAACGTTGAATCTCAAAACTTCCATGTAAAACAGGATGACATTGTTCAAAGCTGCTATTGGGATTCTGGCCGTCCTTTTGATCTTAGACGAGAATCTGATGTAGTACCTCCTGATGCAACACTACAATCTATTCTTTTTGAAAGCCCGGATAAGAACAGATGGGCTCGTTGTCTTAGTGAGCTTGTCAAGTATGGTGCAGTGCTATGCCCGCAGTCTGTTCAGGAAGCAAAGTAATAAAAATTCCTACCTTAACTTCGTTATGCTTTATTTGATATTCTATTATTATCTTTGTTTTTAATTTCTGCTGAAGTTGTATTACTCCCTCCGTAGGGGTTGTTTGGTTGGTTTTCCATTAAGTCCTTAATGAATAAAGCTGTTTGTGTGTATTAATTTGTCTGTACAGATGGGGAAGATTTTTGTTTGGGAGGGGTTTTTCATAGATGGAAGGAACGTTGTTTTTTAATTGGGAGGGACAGGTTTGGAAAAAAAAACTTGGCTTTCTGCATAAAGCTCCCCCTAGAAGCTTACTGAATAAGCCACTTTCTATATCATTAAGCCAATACCAAACAATCATGTATAGCTGACTGAATAAGTTGCGAGTCCCATTAAGCTTCTAACAAATAGACCCAAAGTGTCCACAGTTCTATTTTTGTCCACCTTTAAAAGTAAGTACATACTTTCCAATTCTACCCTTAATTATGAGATGGAGAAATTCATTACTCCCTCTATTATTAAGGCTAAAATTGTCATTTAGTTAATAAGAAGTGTAGTAATTTCAAATTTCCGTAACTGTGTGCCTTTTTCATTATGGGCATTTATTTTGGGACAGAGGGAGTATGTTTTACCCTCCCCAGTTTCTTCTAAATTATGTACGTCTGGTCCCAATTCTTCTAAATGGGTGTCTACTGGTTAGTAAAAGTGTTGCAAAGCCTTCGATTTCCATAGACACAATTGGCCTGTTTTGGGAAAAAAGAACCTTCACTTAAATGTTAACGTATATCAGCATTGCAGCACATGATCGTATAGTTAGTGACTTTTTAGCTCAAAGACCGTACTGTTCTTCGTATTTGCAATGCTCATACTAGGGAGTCTTTGCTTATAATCTTCTCCAGCTTCTTTTTTTTAACCCCAATCGGTCAAAATTCAAATCCACACCTTGGTTATGTTTTTCCTGTACTTGCTTCTATTTATATCCTTGTTGCTTACTCTTATCTAGTTTCTCAAAATTTAACATATGTGTCTCTCTCTTTCTAGTTTCTGTTGTTGTTGTTCACCCTTATCTAGGCTTTCATATTTTAGTGCATCTATTAATCTCCCTGTCACACACATTTCACTAGCCGGGGCTTGTCAGGGAGACAACCGCTCTATTCTTTAGGACAAAGGTCAGGTCTGTATACATCTTATCCCCCCCCCCCCCCCAAAAAAAAAACTTCATCTCCAAGTGCCATATACATATACTGGACTCCTTTGGTTTGGTTCTAAAATCCAGATATTTTTATTGTCAGGTCTGAGGTTATTCAGCGTCTTGCACACATCACACCTGTTGAATTGGGGGGAAGGGCTCATCAGTTTCAGGAAGCAGACAGCAAACTCGATCAGTGGCTCATGTATGCTATGTTTGCTTGTTCATGTCCACCTGGAAGAGAAGGAGCTAGTGCAGCAACAACACGAGACCTCTTCCATCTTATCTTTCCTTCGCTAAAATCTGGTTCTGAAGCACATGTAGTGAGTACGACTGGCCAGCAACTTGATATATCTTCTTTTACATATATCAACCACCATTTTAGTGGCCATCTTCACCCGTTAGGCATAATTGTCTATTTTACAGAAGTAGTAAGATTTTCACTCATTGCTCGAGCTAACTTTTCTTCCTTTTGTTTTTCTTGGATTTCAGCATGCGGCAACTATGGCTCTTGGGCACTCACATTTGGAAGTGTGTGAAATAATGTTCAGCGAGCTTGCATCTTTTATGGACGAAATTTCTTTGGAAACAGACGGAAAACCAAAATGGAAGGTATGACACTATTACTAATGTTTTTAATAGAAGTCATCATCTCATTAATAGGTTACTCTTGATAAGATGTTTAATTTTGTTTAGAACCTCATTCTCCTTCCCTGTTTTATCCGAGAAGCCAAACCAAACGAACCCAATTTATTATAAGATCCCACGTTGGTTGGGGAGGGGAACGAAAATTGTCTTATAGGGTGCGTTTGGTGCGTGGGACAAGGTGGAACAGGACAGAACAGGACACACTTGTCCCATGTTTGGTGTGTTATTAAATGGAACTAAGTAGAACTAACATGAACAAGGATGGGACACGGGTGTTCTACCTTACCACCTGGAACTAAGTAGAACAGGCTATTTTTTACTAGTTTACCCTCACCATCGCTTCCTTCCCGCCTTCCCCTACCTCTCCATCGCACCTCCATTCATCAATCGGCGACCGGCGAGGCGACCGGCGACGGCAGAGGCGACCGGCGAGGCGACTGGCGACGGCAGAGGCGACCGGCGACGGCAGAGGCGACGGCAGTCCGATCAATCGACGAGTTCCTTTCCATCGACCATCGCACCAGGTACACCATCGCACCATGTATCACATCAGGTACACCATCGCACCCTGTATCACATCAGGTACACCATCGCACCCTACCTATCCTTCATCAATCGGCGATTCATGTTTGCTGTTTTGCATAACTCGATCTAGGGTTTCTGATTTCATTCTCGATTTTGCATAACTCGATTTAGGGTTTCTGATTTCATTCTCGATTTTGCATAACTCGATTTAGGGTTTCTGATTTCATTCTCGATTTTGCATAAGTCGATTTAGGGTTTCTTAAACTTGTTATAATTCGGCGATTTAGTGTTTCTGATTCATGTTTAACTATGACTATTGATGCAATTGTGTTTTTCTGATTCAATTGTGTTCTAGCTTAACTATGACTATTGATGCAATTGTGTTTTTCTGATTCATGTTTGCGCCTGATTCAATTGAAACAATTTTGCTGGGGGTAAATTGGTCATTTTAGCATGTTCTGTCTTGTCCTGTCCTATCTTACCAAACGTTGAACAGCTGTCCTGTCCCGTCCCGTCCCGTCCCGTCCTGTCCCGTCCTGTCCAGTCCAGTCCTGTCTGCGCACCAAACGCACCCATAAGGAACTGGACACCTCCTCTATCAGACGCTTCTAAAACCGTGAGTCCAGGTGTGTGGACAAAGCGGAATTATATCTGGTACGGTTGGCCTAAGATGTTACGTATATCCTTATCGGAAGTAGGGTCTGGGAGAGTTAGGATGTACGAGACCTTACCTCAACCACTAGGATCACTTTTATCTGAGAAGCCCTTTACTTCTATTGCACTTTACTTTTTCTGCTATATGATAGACAAAGGGATTATGCTTATTTGGATGTTTTGGGCTTATTGTTTGTTTTTCTTTGCATGCAAAATATCATTATTGTCTACATAGAACATCTCCAACAGCTCAATGGAGAAAAAGAATATTTTGGAGTTTTTATGCTTTTTTTTCTTCCAACGGCGTCTCCAAAATGGAGGAAGTAGGAGAGAGAGGGAAAATTCTACAAATTAAATGGAGGAAGAGAGAGAATGACTTATATATTTAAAGAAAAAAAACTCCCCGACTTGCCAAAATAAATTAAATGAAGAGTCGGGACTTTATTTTTTATCATTGAGTATTTTAATAATATAATTAATGTTGGACTCTCCAAAATGGAGAAACTATTGGAATTGAAGAGATCTTAATTTTTGCTTCCCCATTTTGGAGAAATTATGGAGAAACTGTTGGGAGATGCTACATCATTTACGAACTGCTTCGAGTGAATACTAGGATCATATGCATTTTCATTTGGTTCCAACGATATAAATATCTTATTTGTGTTGACGCAGAGTCAAAAACTTCGCCGTGAAGAACTCCGAATCCGCATTGCAAACATATATAGAACTGTTGCCGAGAACATTTGGCCTGGCATGCTAGGCCGTAAGCCGGTTTTCCGCCTCCACTATTTGAAGTATATTGATGAAACAACCAGATTAATCTCGAGTTCACCTCTTGAGAACTTCCAAGAAATGCAACCTCTTCGTTATTCACTTGCATGTGTACTAAGATCACTGGCCCCCGAGTTTGTGGAGTCTAAATCAGAGAAATTTGATCCTAAAACCAGAAAACGGTTGTTTGATCTTCTTCTTTCATGGTGTGATGATTCTGGTAGCACATGGAGCCAGGATAGTGCAAGCGATTATCGACGTGAAGTTGAACGTTACAAGTCTAGTCAGCATTCTCGATCGAAAGACTCCATAGACAGAATTTCGTTCGATAAAGAAGTTACTGAACAAGTTGAGGCCATTCAATGGGCTTCCATGAATGCTATGGCTTCTTTGTTATATGGGCCTTGTTTTGATGATAATGCACGAAAAATGAGCGGCCGTGTTATATCTTGGATCAATAGTCTCTTCATCGAGCCTGCACCGAGGGCCCCGTTCGGTTATTCACCGGTTGACCCACGAACTCCATCGTATACTAAATACACAGGAGAAGGCGGTCGAGGAGCTACTGGACGTGATAGGAACAGAGGTGGTCACCTTCGCGTTTCCCTTGCTAAAATGGCGTTAAAGAATCTTCTTCTTACCAATTTAGATTTGTTCCCTGCTTGCATCGATCAGGTTAGATATCTTCTCCCGTATTCATAAAATATTGCTCCCTCTGTCCCAAAATAAGTGTTCACATTTCGATTTTAGCTTGTCCCAAACGAAGGGTCCACTTTCAGAAGTAAATACCTGCGTTTCCAATTCTACCCTTAATTGAGATATGGAGAATTCATTACCCCCTCTATTACTAAAGGGTATCATTGTCATTTAGTTATAACTGAAAAATGTGTAATAATGATGTATTTCTAAAACTATTTTGTCTTTTCCATGGTGGGCATTTATTTTGGGACGGACCCTTATTATGAGATGGAGAAATTCATTGCTCCCTCTATTATTATGGGTACATTGTCATTTAGGGCTGTTTGGTTTGTTTTCCATTAATATGGGTACATTGTCATTAATAAGCTGTCTCTGTGGATTAATGTCTGTATAGATTGGGAAGGTTTTTTCATAGATGGAACGAACATGTTTTTTAATTGGGAAGGGCTGGTTTGGAACAAACTTGGCTTTCTGGATAAAGCTTCCTCTAGAAGCTTATTGAATAAGCCTTTCTGTATCATTAAGCTACTACCAAACAGTCATGTATAGCTGACCGAATAAGTTGTGCGTCCCATTAAGCTCATCCAGCTGCTAACAAACAGACCCCAGTTTAACTGAAACGGGTATGAATTACATATCTCTAAACTGTTCCTTTTTCATTGTGGACATTTATTTTGGGACAGAGGGAGTACTTCATACACTTGGATTTATTAAAACTGTCACTTGCGATTGCAACTGATGACTTATTTTTGGTCCTTCAGTGCTACTATTCTGATGCCGCCATAGCTGATGGCTACTTCAGTGTTTTGGCCGAAGTCTACATGCGCCAAGAGATACCCAAATGCGAAATTCAGCGACTTCTGAGTCTCATCCTTTACAAAGTGGTCGACCCATCTAGACAGATTCGTGATGATGCCCTACAGATGCTCGAGACACTATCAGTCCGTGAATGGGCTGAAGATAAAATCGAGGGCTCAGGAAGTTATCGGGCTGCAGTCGTTGGAAATCTTCCCGATTCTTACCAACAATTTCAGTACAAACTGTCGTGCAAACTTGCCAAAGATCATCCCGAGCTCAGCCAGCTTCTTTGTGAAGAAATCATGCAGCGGCAATTGGATGCGGTCGATATAATCGCTCAACATCAGGTTTTAACATGCATGGCTCCGTGGATCGAAAACCTCAACTTCTGGAAACTTAAAGATTCAGGATGGAGTGAAAGGTTATTGAAAAGCTTGTATTATGTGACATGGAGGCATGGTGATCAGTTTCCGGATGAAATCGAGAAGCTTTGGAGTACGATTGCCAGTAAGCCCCGAAATATACGGCCGGTTTTGGATTTTTTGATCACGAAAGGAATAGAAGATTGTGATTCGAATGCCTCGGCTGAAATAAGTGGCGCGTTTGCTACGTATTTCTCGGTTGCTAAACGAGTGAGCTTATATCTAGCTCGGATATGTCCACAGGGCACCATAGACCACTTGGTTTATCAGTTGGCTCAACGTATGCTTGAGGATAGCTTGGAACCACTCAGACCAACGGCTAACAAGGGTGAACCAAACGGAAATTATGTTTTGGAGTTTTCTCAGAGTTCAGCCGTGGCTCAAATTGCCGCGGTTTTGGATAACCAGCCTCATATGTCACCGTTACTGGTTCGAGGGTCTCTTGATGGTCCATTACGGAATACTAGCGGAAGCTTAAGCTGGAGAACAGCAGCTGTCGGTGGCCGGAGTGCGTCGGGTCCGTTGACTCCAATGGCTCCTGAGATGAACGTGGTTCCTGTAACCGCTGGGCGGTCGGGTCAACTCATTCCGGCTTTAGTCAACATGTCGGGGCCTTTGATGGGGGTCCGAAGTTCAACGGGAAGTATGAGAAGCCGTCATGTTTCTCGAGATAGTGGGGATTATCTCATCGAAACTCCAAATTCCGAAATCGATGGTTTGCATCCGGCTAGCGGAACTCACGGTGTCAATGCTAAAGAACTTCATTCAGCCTTACAAGGTCATCAGCAGCATTCGTTAACCCATGCTGATATCGCATTAATTTTGCTAGCGGAAATTGCTTATGAGAACGATGAAGATTTCCGGGAGCATTTACCATTACTTTTTCACGTCACATTTGTCTCGATGGATAGCTCGGAAGATATTGTGTTGGAACACTGCCAGCATTTGCTCGTTAATTTGCTGTATTCGCTTGCCGGCCGTCATTTGGAGCTTTACGATGTTGAAAATAGTGATGGTGAGAACAAGCAGCAGGTCGTGAGTTTGATTAAATACGTTCAATCGAAACGGGGGAGCATGATGTGGGAAAATGAGGACCCGACGCTCGTGAAAATCGAGCTCCCGAGCGCCGCGCTTTTGTCCGCGCTCGTGCAGAGCATGGTGGATGCAATCTTCTTCCAGGGTGACCTCCGAGAAACTTGGGGAGCCGAGGCGCTCAAGTGGGCCATGGAGTGCACCTCGAGACACCTTTCGTGTCGGTCCCACCAAATCTACCGAGCGTTGCGGCCCCGTGTGACGAACGACGCTTGTGTCTCGCTTCTCTGGTGCCTCCATCGTTGCCTAGCGAATCCCGTACCTTCGGTTTTGGGGTTTGTTATGGAGATCCTTTTGACATTGCAAGTGATGGTCGAAAATATGGAGCCTGAAAAGGTGATATTATACCCCCAGCTTTTCTGGGGTTGTGTCGCTATGATGCACACCGATTTTGTCCACGTGTACTGTCAGGTACTCGAGCTCTTTTCTCGTGTTATTGACCGTTTATCGTTTCGTGACAAAACAACCGAAAACGTTCTCCTCTCGAGCATGCCACGAGACGAGCTCGATCATAGTGTTGCTGACACCGACTTCCAGAGACTCGAGCCACAGAACCCTGGTGTAACCTCACCATCGAGCGGGAAAGTCCCGGCTTTCGAAGGGGTCCAGCCGCTCGTACTTAAAGGACTCATGTCAACCGTGAGCCACGGCGTGTCAATCGAGGTTCTTTCACGGATAACGGTTCACTCGTGTGATTCCATCTTTGGGTACCCAGAAACGAGACTTTTAATGCACATCATCGGCTTGCTTCCGTGGCTCTGCTTACAGCTCAACCACGAACCCGTTGTCGGCCAATCTTCACACCAAAAGGCTTGTGGTGTTTCAACCAATCTAGCCATCTGGTGTCGAGCCAGATCATTAGACGAGCTAGCCGCGGTTTTCGTGGCCTATTCACAGGGCGATATCAAGACGATCCACAACCTTCTTGCCTGCGTCTCGCCATTATTATGCAACGAGTGGCTACCGAAACACTCGGCGCTCGCATTCGGACATCTTCTCAAGCTTCTCGAGCGTGGGCCCGTCGAGTATCAACGAGTAATCCTCTTAATGATGAAGGCATTACTTCAACATACTTCCATGGATGCTGCACAGAGTCCGCATATGTACGCAATCGTTTCCCAACTAGTCGAAAGCACGCTCTGTTGGGAGGCACTTAGCGTACTCGAAGCCCTTTTGCAGAGCTGCAGCTCGCTAAGCGGGACCCACAACCACGATCCGTCATCGTATGAAAACGGGCTCGGTGGGACCGAGGACAAGGTGCTGTTTCCTCAATCATCATTCAAGGCTCGCAGTGGACCGCTACAGCAGGCCATGGGTCTGGGGTTCGGACCAGGGTCTATGCTGGCTGCACAGGTTAGCCTCTCGGAGTCGGGTGTTTCGCCTCGTGAGTTAGCGTTGCAGAACACGCGATTAATCCTCGGTCGGGTTCTCGAAAATTGTGCACTTGGGAGGAGAAGGGATTATAGAAGATTGGTACCTTTTGTGACAACCATTGGCAACCCTTGAATCTTTTCAAGCTATATCCAGTTTTTCTTTAGCTGTGTACATTGGTGGATTGAATCTTGGCTGAATGTTGTATATGATTGAACTAGAATTAGTGATTGATTAGCATGTAAAATGCCCATTTTGGTCAAAAACCTTACAGCCTAGTGGTAAAGGCTTGGGCATGGCATAGTCATGAACCCGAGTTCGAGCCCTGGGAGGGGAGTGTTGGCGACATTTAAGTGGGGCCATGTTTAGCCTCCAAAATTGCCGGGGATTAGTCGGGCTTTGGCCCGGACACCCTTACAAAAAAAAAAAATGCCCATTTTGGTTTAAGTTATAATGTTTAGAATATTTTGTCTGAATGAATCTGGTATATCTCATTTAAAAGTAGGATCTGTCTTTTACTCCAATACTATATTCTCGAAACCTTTTTTCTTAGATAAAAGAAAACACGTGTTCTAGAAACCACTAGGGTGATGTTCGATTTGTTTGAGATTGGGCTTCAAAGGTTAAAGGTGATTTGAGGTCCCAGGTTCAAATCCCCTTGTGGCCACGAAGGTTCAAATGCGGTGACTTCGCGGGTGGACGCCCTAGGATTAGTCGGCTCGCATAGCGGGTTGGATAAACCAGGTTAATAAAAAAAAAAGGCTGGAAGAAATGAACAGAAAGAAATATGAAAGGAGTTTCTGATCTTTTATGACAAAAATATCCTTGTATAAAAAACTTCCTTTTTGAACGAAAATAAGAAAGATAACACTCTTTTCGTCCTTTCAATTCTAATTGAAGATCAACAATAATAAGTTGTACTGAGATGCATCAGACCAATTCCCGTGAGAAACGCAATTTATGGAATTTGAGTGAGATTAAAAATGATCAAGTTTCTAGATCCCATTATCACCTTAACTATTATTCACACACGATCCTCCGTCAAGAGTATAAATGGTATATTTATGAAAATAATATCTTTCTTTTCATCTTCGGTTCAAGTCGAGAGCATGAAAAACCATTCTCTTTCGATTCATTCCCTCTCAAAAACACAAATAAAAAACTTTATTTCCGTTTTTCTTTTATTTCCTTCCCAAATTCGATAAGACGATGCAAAAGGATACAACAATTGTTTATGTGACGATTGAGCGTCGTAATATGAAATCGATTTCCGAGTGTATTGAATTGAACACACAATACAATAACAAAATCATAAGCACACATCTATACAACTCGGATCTCGAGTGACTCGAGTTTTACCGTCATGAGAAGTAACTTTGGAAATGGCCACTATTCGCGGGTCGCTCCATTCTTCTTGAACAAAGTCAAAGCATCGCTATAAACAGCCACCACGTTCGAGAAAACCGCAAGAACGATCATGAACACACATAAGATCTTGTCCTTCTTACTCGAGATGCCATAACGATCCCTGATATTCCAAAGCAAAATGCATCAAGATTTCCATCGTCATATTAAAACGGTTCTTGATTCTATTTATTTTTGGTAAACTAACTGTTAGCTACTCCCTCCATCCGAAAAATAGATGTCCACAATGAAATGTGCAATTAACTAATTACTCTTCTTGTCCCAAAACAAGGGTCCACATTTCTATTTTAGTTTGTCTCGATATAAATGTCCACTCTTGGAAAATAAGTGCATACTTTACCGTTCTACCCTTAATTATGAGATGGATAATTTAATTATTCCATCTATTACTAAGGGTAAAACTGTCATTTAATTCATTAAAAATGTAATAATTACAATCTTCTAAAACGGCGTGCCTTTTTTATTGTGGAAATTTATTTCGAGGAGGGAGTACTACACTTAATTAACTGAAACAATTTCACCCTTAATTATAGAAAGTGTAATAAATTCCTCGCTTGATAATTAAGGGTAGAATTGGAAAATAGACAATTACATTTCACAGTGGACCCTTGTTTTGGAACAAACAAAAAGAACACTTATTTTTGGGACGGAATAAGTAATAAGCTAGCTGATAAACAAGTCATGTTTGGTAAAATACCAACTTATAAATTAGATGACAACGTAAAATGACCTGAAAGCACATGCTAAAAAAGTAACCGGAAAAATAAAAAGGGCGTAATTGGAAGAAAAGAAAAGGTAGAAAAAACCCTGAAGCTTATTGAAACGCTACTTGAAACAGCATTTCAAAAAGCTAGCTTGTGGTTAACCAAATAGTGCTTTTTCAATAAGCTCAAAAAAAATAATGATCTGAAAGAAAGAAGGAAACTTACCCAAGAGTGATGGCAGAAGGAAATATGAAGCCAATACAAACAGCAGCAGTTGCTCCAGTGAACTGAAAAGCATCCCAAATGCTGGGAATGAAGTTTGCACCCAAAAAGATGACGCCAATGAGGCCAATTGTGATTGCTGAAAACCTATAGTTATCCAACACCAATGCCCCTTTTCGCGGAAAAAGTAGTCCGTCTAAGTTCAGTCTTAACGGAAAGAAGACAATCGGAAAAACGAGCATCAAATGAGCAGCGTAACTAACACGGACCGCATCATTTAGCAACGAGCTATACGGGATTCCAAGATTTGTGTCAAAGTTTGCAAGCACGTCATCAAGTGTTCCGTCACCAAATAAGAGGAAACCAAAGATGCTTGTCATCACGTATACAGACGAGCATAGGATAAGCGATGTTCGGACAACTTTTTTTATCTGAGTGTTGTCTTCAAGTTCGTTATCGATTGTGTGAACTGCAATATTCGAAAGTTCATCTGAGGTGAGAAACCAAAAGTAGACGGTATATCCCGCTCAAAAGTAGGGTTTGAGGGGTGAGAAGTATGCAGACCTGTCATCTGCCCCAAAGGGTAGTGCAGTTGTTTCCATGAAGACCCAAGTTTGTGCAAAAGTGTGAGCGAAACAATACTAGTAAAAAGTAAGGTTAATCACAAAAAGGCCACTTTTCGAGTGATCGAGCAGACCCATCAAAAAACTGGTCGTTTTTGTGATCAACGCTAAAAGAAAGGGAACAAATCATTAATCGCAAGTAAAAGCTAGTTTGCATACCGTTGTAATGGCAAATGTAAGCAGTAACGAGCACGGGGACAACAGTGAAGAGATTAAAGGCGGATGTGAAGTCCACGATATCGGGAAACAATTTAGGCATTGTAATACTTCCTGTTACCAATTTGAAGATCGTAATTCCTGCAGTGATCACGAGGAAGACGACTGCCAATCCAACTGATAATGCAGATGTATAGCTAAGTGAATCTGCACGCCCGTGAAAAGCACAATCAATAACAGAAAGATGTATCGGTCTTCAATTGATATCAACAGAGCAAAACATCCAATCAAGAAAAAAGATTAATTCTTGAATTGGATCCCTAAAACTTGCCAATCTAGAAAAAAAAGATTAAGGGGTCGTTCACCAAACACTAATTGGCTCAGCGCTTATCGGGTAAGAGTCACCACCCTCACTTACATTACCAGATAAGATTCTCGTCCATCAAAATGTCATAGTAAGATTGTTGGTAAATGTTTCTTACCCGATAAGTCCTAACCGGGTAAGAGCCACCACCCTCACTTACCACGTAAGATTTTTAGTCCTTGCTATGTCTGTTACCGGATAAGATTTTCAGCTCTTGTCATGCTCAGCTGTAATGAAAGTGACTCGGTAAGCATTTACCCGTCTAGCGTTAGGTAAACAGACTATTCTGCTAACATTCGGATACCTAAAACTTGCCAATCAAGAAAAAAGACTTGATCTTGAATTGGGCCAACCAGATAACATCAAATAGAGGCTATTCTACTAACAATCGGATACCTAAAACTTGCCAACCAAGAAAAAGGACTAACTTTTGAACTGGATCAACCGCGTAAGAGCAAATGGAGGCTATCTTTCTAACAATTCGATTCCTAAAACTTGCCATTTAAGAAAAAAGGTTAATCTTTGAATTGGGTCAACCAGATAACAGCAAATAGAGGCTATTCTGCTAACATTCGGATACCTAAAACTTGCCAACCAAGAAGAAAAAGACTAATTCTTGAATCTTGATTTGAATCAAAATTAGATAACAGCAAATAGAAACTATTATATGTTAACAAATGTATTCCTAAAACTTGCCAATCAAGAACAAAGACTAACCTATCCGCTTTAGACTGGCTAACGGCGCAAATACCCCGAGGGTGGTTACAAGAAGAACGAAAAAACGACCGTTCCACCAGTGTACACCAAACCACCCTTGTAAAACACCAGCATGGTGAATCCCATCTGAAGTTGTTCCAGACAGCACATCACCTAAAGAACACAAACCCAAATCAAAATCAAGTTCTTCACATATTCAAGATCTCATATAATCTCAAAAATTAACAAATACCCAAATAAATATGAAGGAAAACTAACGAATCAATCGAGCCATACCGATGATAATCATGTAGACAACAAGAACACCAATGTTGTTAACCAACACACATACTTGCAACAACATTCTACCAATTCTTCCAAAAGCATCCTCCATAACACCTCCATAAGAAATCGATTTCCCAGCCCTACTGAATCGAAGTAAAAGATCGATCGAAGCATTCGTCAAGAACGCCATAAAGATTATCAAAGCAATTCCGGGTATAAGCCCTAATACTTTCATAGTTGCAGGCAAAGCCATTATTCCAGCACCCACAATTGTGGTTGATAAATTAAACACTGCACCAGTAAATGAAGCTCCATTGAACTCATCAAAACCTCCATCTTCACCTTTCTTGGTGGGTAACAATGGCGATTTCTCATCAACAACAACCACTTGTTTACTCTTTCTTGATCTCTTCTCTTTCACAGGCTTTTCAGACCCAATCGTCATTTTCAGCTAGAATTTCTTACAATTTACAATCTCAAACCCTAGAACTGAATCCAAAAGAATGAAAGATAACATTCAGAATCAATCCAAAATCGTAACTTCATTAATTAATCAAAAGAAAAGCAACCCACAATGTATACGGAATCAAACCCACAATTCCTTGAAGAACAAAAAATCCCAATTCAAAATCACAATAAAAAGGTCAAGGTCATACCTGTAACTATCGGAAATCGATTACGAACAGTTGAATAATTTGGGGAGACGGGTCTGAACTTCTCAAACCCACAAAAAGACCTAATCAATATCGGATTACGGCAGTGAATTGAAGAAGAATTGGGAGGTGTAGATTTATTTCGCTCAATTATCAAGTGGGTTTATATAGAGACTAAGGAGATACAGCAGTATACGCAAGAATAAACAAATGCGTAAAATTATAAGTTGAATTCGGGGAAATACAAAGTGATTGGGGGATTAAAGTGAAATTCGGTTGGAATTACTACTTGGGAATTATTGATTTTGTTGACGTAATCGGAAAACGCCGTCCACCGACGTCGCTGTCGATGGGTTTTTGTCCTGATGGCGGGTGATGACGGTGAAGATACCCCAAAACCCATTTTCATGTGATTGAAAAGGCAGAAAAACATGAAACAGTCCTCGAAGATACGTGCAAAAGCACCAAATCTTTTGTTGATTTTCCCAAAAAAAAAAAGGTTTGTTTGATTATAATTTAAATATTAAATATTTTTAAGAAAAGAAAATTTATATTTTATTAATTATTAATTATTAATTATTAATTATTTTATTTTATTTTATATTAAATATTTTAATAAAATATTTTAATCTCAAAAATAAATAAGTTCTCGAAGTTCAGAGTAATTTTCCTTTTTTAAAATTTGACCTTGAATTTTGAAGATGCTATTACAATATTTTTTAATTTTTTTAAAATTTTTAATTTTAATTATATTATTATTACTAGAAGTCTATTCGTGCAATACATAATACATGCATTTTGATTTTAATATTTTATTTTATTTTATTTATCTCAAGGGGTGTTTGGGATTGCTTATTGTATCTGTTTATTGACTTATTTCAGTCTGGCACCGGTGATAAACTAATACCTAGTGTTTGGATAAGAAAAAATAAAACTGCTTATACCGGTGCCAGACCGGTAATAAGCAGTTTTTGATAAGTTAATCCGTCATGACTTATGAAAAACTGCTTATTATCAGTTTACCATTTTAACTCTATTCCTATCTCTTTTCCTCCAGATAACATCGATCTCAATCTTCTCCCTTCTCCAGATAACATCAATCTTTTCCCTGTCCTTTTTGGTCATTTTATAGATATAAGCAAAATTTGTCAAACACTAAAAAACAACTTATCAGCTTATTGCAGTTTGGTATTACTATAAGCTAATCCAAACACTTTTTATAAAACTCTGGTTTGATATCACATAAGTTAATAAGCACTTTTACAAAAAAAAAAAACATAAGTTGTTTTAAATAAACAATCCCAAACACCCCCTCAATCGATGTTATAATATGGTCTTATGTGATTCTAAAAAAAAGATAATGTTTTTATTTTGAATAAAATATAAATTTGAAGATATTATAAAATTTTAATAGAAATGTATGGATATTAGTATTTAATTTAACATTTAAATTTTTTCGTTTTTGTGTAATTTTTTAATTCAATTTTTTTTATTATAATTTAATTATTATTTTATTAGAACTCAATAATTATCTAAATTTATATTTTAGATTTTTTGTATTTTAAAATGAGATGTTCATCATCTATTTGACTATGTTTAT